GTATATTACCGATTCTGACTGAAATCTTATCTTTAGATATGATATATCTTAATATCTATATTTATATATTTCATATTTTTAAAATGTGGACTTACCAATTTTTCCGTATTACTTCTCTGCTACTTACTATTTTACTAATCAGTATTGATCTAGTTAACGAAATTGCTCCATCACGTTTTATTTTAATATTTTATCATTTATTCACACATTTTAATTTTTAATTATACAATTATTACTATTATCATTTTATACAAATTAGACTATATTATACATTTTAATATTTTATGATATATTCACATACACGAATTAATTAGAATATACATTTTATTTTTGAATTATACAATTATTATTATTTTTTTTTTATTATGTACTATATAAAATACGTATACGAGGGGGGGGGATAAACAGTGTCCAGCGGAATCAATATGTAAATAATATTAACAGTAGCCGGCGGAATCGATACAAACCTTTTTTCTTAACAGGTAGTTTCGGCGGAATCAATAATTCCCCAGGTGTTGGTTGACCCACGTCATTAGTAGGTCACTATAATGGATTTGTAAAATTTGAGTTTAATGATAAATCATTGAATATTGTATACTTAAAAACAGATTCTTTGAAAAAGGTCTTTGAGCTTGTATTCCTAAGGACATTTCGAAATATATTTATATTGCAATTGTAAGTTATTTATTTCTATTTTAGCAGGTACATAATGATTAATATGATAGGTTAAACTAATTGTTGACAGTAAAAAATGATATATTATATTTCATTATAATATTATTTCGTATAATATTACTCGCTATTACTAACAGTTATAACGTATTAGTCAATATCAACGTCTTGTTGAACGATCAAAGTATAAGTAGCTTAAATTTATTAAAGTATTTTGACATTTATTGTGGATGAACAATAACATTATCTAATATGAACTGTTGCAAGTTGCAAAGACAAAATTATTGAATGTCAGAGTAATAGTCTTATTTTTCATCAAAATATCCAATTTTGTAAATATTTAATGTTGAAATGCCTTAAAAAAATCAAGTACAATATGTATTTTCAATATTCTGTTTTATTGAAATAAGAATAGCTTAAGAGAAATTATTTATTAGATAATTAATTTTTTTTAACCAGTGTTAAACGTTTTGTCAAAACATATTAAAATAGGTTTGAGTATTTTGAAATGTAGATCGTGTGTAAATAACAATAATTACAATAATAGTGGGATGTTTTTATTTGTATGAATAATGCTTTCACGACAAACTAACAAAAATAATTTATTTAAGAAAAAAAACTTTATTTTACGTTTGAGTATCTTATTTCATTTTAACTTAGTTTCCAAAAGCGCATAAAAAGTAATTGTGACCTTACGTGTCTAAAATGAGCAACATTATTTAGAAAATAATTCTTTATCTAGAATATGTTTATATTAATATTTGGTGAAAATATCAATTATAAAATGTTTGTTTTTTTAAATTTAACAAAATATCAATACCAATGTCATCAATTGATTTTTTTTGATTTTTTCTGATTTTTCGGAAAAGTACAAATAACAAGAACTTTTACTTTTTACCTTTCACCCACTTTTCTTTAAAGTACTAAAGTACTAAGTAGATTTAAGTTTATACCACAAATCCCCTTGAAGTAAATGAACATAAGATTTATTATATTATTAATATAACACGCATTGTATAATATAATCAAACCACTCACAATCTAAAATGATATTGTAAACTATTGAAAAAAGCACAATAAAATTGTGTTCTCGAGTACAATTTAAGATTTTAAAGTTTACTACAATTAGGTAATGTTGACTTATTTTAGATTCTGAGTACTGCAATTTGCAATGAATCTATTATTTTAAAACTACGTGTTTTTTCTTTTTGTAGTGCTAGTTGTTGTTATGGTTGTTGWTGTTGTTTCATAAAATACTTTTTTGGGTCAGTAAAAGTGCTTCAAATGTTTTATATTACAGCCTCTCCAACAATAATTCGTAGTTGGAATACGAGATCAGGTGCTCTTTAATAAAGATCATTTTTAATTACGTTCAGTTATAATATAAATATACATTGTATACTAATAAGATTGGACATTTCTATAATATTTATTTTTTACTGATTATACACAAGCTACCAGAACYTATGTTTGCCTATGAATATATTTCGAAGATATTTATTGACAATAATTTAAAGCTTGAAATATAATATTTATACTAATTTTAAATCCAGATCTCCTTAAAATCATCCATAACTAAGCTGCTATCTATAGCTGATTTTAAATCTAACAGTATTACACACCGTTAAAAACAGTGACCTTAAAAACGCTTAAAAGAAGTCTGTTTTGTTGACTAAATCATTATTATTTTCAAACGTTGGATGTTATTCAATATTGATTTAAGTCATTTTATAGTAATTATTATAATATTAGGTTTTTCATTTTAATTAAATTTATAATATTATGTTTATGTCTAAATTGATCATAAATAGTTGCAGTTATTGTTTATAATTTTTAATTAGCTATTTTTTTTTTTACTGTATTTGAGTTGACGCATTAATAAATATTAAGTAATAATAAAAAGAAACGATTGCACATTGGAAAATTACATTTAATACAAAAATAAAAATTAATTAATACTCTACCAATCCCCTTGGGGTATCCTCCACAGGATAACGGGTGTGACAATCCCGCGGACCTCAGTCAGGTGGTGGTGTAGCCTGAAGGATGCTCAGGATCGTCTCAGGTAAGTAGGTGTACAYTAAGATCGTGACACTGAAGCACCACCACCACCCAGTTGGGTCCCCCATTAATGGGGGTTGACGTTGGGCCAACCACCCAACTCGTAACACCAAAACAGGTTCCGAAACAAAACAAACCTCAGCCTCGGATGAACAGTAAAAATTTGGAAAAGTTGAGTTTAGGAACTTGGAACGTGCGCACGTTATATGCTACGGGCGCTTTGATGACAGTCGTTTCAGCAATAGAAACGCACAGATTAGATATAGTGGCCATTCAAGAACTGAGATGGACAGGATCAGGAAGTATAAGGTCAAATACCCATACAGTGTTTTACAGCTCTGACACAAATCACGAATCTGGAGTAGGCTTTATAATCAAGAATGATATACTCCCATATGTTAAGAATTTTATAGCGTATAATGAAAGACTGTGCTACATACAAGTCGAATGTAAATGGTTAAACATGACATTAGTAAATGGTTATGCACCAACAGAGGAAAAAGGAAATCAGATCAAGGAAAAATTCTATAGCGAGTTAGATACCATATATGAATGCATACCAAAAAGAATACCGAAAATAATAATGGGGGACTTTAATGCAAAGATAGGGAAAGAGAGAGTTTTTGAACCTACAATCGGCCAAGAAAGCCTACATCAAATATCCAATGACTACGGGATAAGACTCATTACATTTGCAGGATCTAAGAATATGCGGATCAGTAGTACCTTTTTCCCACATAAGAGAATACACAAACAGACATGGATGTCAACAAACGGAACCACAAAAAACCAGATTGACCACGTAGCGACAGATAACATAATAAAACATTGGATTCAGGATGTAAGAARTCACAGGGGGGTAGGAGCCCACTCAGACCACTTCGTAGTTAAAACGACACTCCGTCTAAAACTACCAAGTCAATGGACGCAGAAGCCTAGAGATAAAACAAAATTGAACATAGAAAACATGAAAAAGGAGAGCATCGTAAGAAAATACAAACAAACAATGATGACTAAGTTAAATACTGTATAACAGTCACAAGACATTCAAAAGAAATGGGAAAATCTAAGAACCATTATTAAAACAACAGCGGAAGAARCAATTGGACTAGAACCCAGGAGAAGACAAAATAAATGGTTCAATGATAACTKTAAGAAGGCGATAGAAGACAGAGACAAAGCAAGAATTGAAGTATTGAGAYCTAACACCGAAGAAAAATTGCAAATATAGGCACAAAAACATAGAGCATGCAAACAGATAATAACAAGGGAAAAAAGAATCTGGGAAGAACAAAAAATAAAAACCATTGAAGAGGAATACCTGAATTCCCGCACCTTTTTTGGGATAACAAATGAACTAACGAAAAAACGTAAACCAAGAACTATGATAATGAAGGATAGCAATAACGTACTGATCACAGAAGAAAAAAAGATTGCGGAAGAATTCAGAGAGGCGTTTAAACAACTATTGGGAAAAACAGTGRATACAACCRAAGAGAGTWTAACATACCTAACTGCAGAACCAGAGGATAAAATACCAAGTAAAGAAGAAATAGAAGTGGCCATTAAAATGCTTAAAAATAACAAGGCACCAGGAGAAGACTTGATCATATCTGAACTCCTGAAGAACGGTGGACAAAAGCTAATGCAGAAAATATGGTACCTATTAAAAGAAATATGGAAAACTGAAAGAATTCCATTGGAATGGAACCTGTCGATAATATGCCCCATATATAAAAAAGGGGACCCCATGAATGTAAATAATTATAGGGGAATATCTTTACTCAACACAGCATACAAGATTCTATCGAAAACTCTACTAAACCGATTAAGACCATAAGCCAATAACATCATAGGAGAATATCAGAGTAGTTTCATGTCAGGCAGATCAACAATAGACCATATTTTCACGCTTAAACAAATAATAGAAAAGTACTACGAGTTCAACAGACCGCTGCATTTAATCTTTATAGACTTTAAACAGGCATACGATTCCGTACAAAGAACAGAAATATGGAGAAGCTTAAAGCTATTAGGAGTCCCCTCAAAACTAATATCGATGATAAGAGTGAGCACGGAAGGATCAAGATGCGCAGTCAAATTTGGTCAYGAGAAATCAGAAGAATTCCAAACAACAACAGGATTAAAACAAGGTGACGCACTGTCACCAATACTATTTAACATWGTRCTAGAGATGGCAATAAGGGAAGTACAAGAAGAATGCCTAGGAATTAACTGTGGCCAAAACCTTCCATTACTATCATATGCCGATGACGTGGTAATATTAGGGCAGGAAAAGCGGATAAAGCGAGCAGGATATCAAAAAAGCAACGGAATTACTGATACGAAGCGCAAACAAACGGGGACTCAACATTAACGASACTAAAACAAAATACATGCGAATCGGTAGGAACAAAGATCAGAGACGAAATGCAGCTGGAATACAGGTCGGAGAATATATGTTTGARGAGGTAGATGATTTTAAATATTTAGGCACTAATCTAAGTAGCACAAACGACAACCACGAAGAAATAAAAAAACGCATGGGAAACAAATGTTTTTACGCCCTCTCGAGGTTATTGGGGTCGAAGCTACTGTCCAAAAAATCMAAAGAACGACTMTATATGGTACTAGCTAGACCAGTGATAATGTGAGACATGGCCCACGACCCAAGGCGATGAGAATAGACTAGATATCATGGAGAGGAAATTCCTTAGGAAGATTTACGGACCAAAAAGAAACAAAGACCAAACATACGAAATAAGATCTAACAGAGAAATACAGGAGTTATTCGGAAAACCAGACATAATAGCGGAAATACGCCACAAAAGACTGAGGYGGCTTGGACATGTWMTAAGGGCTAAGTCAATAGCAAATGCTGTACTAAGATGGATTCCTCAGGGAAGAAGGCCGATTGGAAGACCAAAAYAGAGATGGATGGACAAAAATAAAAAAGAACTAAATCAACTTGGGATAGAAAATATTATTGAAGCGGCTATGAACAGAGACAGATGGAAGGAGATTTGTTTTGCAGCAATGGGCCTTAATGGCCTTTAAAGCTGGAAATGATAATGACTCTATCAATCACAAAACCTGTCAAATTTTACATTTTCTTTTCATCTGGTATAAAATAATTTTCTGCTTTTTAATTGTATTTTAGATTCTGGACGAAATGATGAATGTATTGATTTTACAATGATGTGTGT